ATACAAAATTAATATCGTAGTCGTAAAATTCTAAACGATAGTAAGGATTTTTATAATTTGCATTTACAATCAGGATTCGTACATTCATTTCCATCTTCTCCACACAAATCGGGCTTCAAGGATCCTGTTCCACTGCTTTTTTTGTCTTTTGTATCGGCGGTGCCAGTCTTCTCGGTAGTGCTGGTTGTACTTGTTAGAAAGGTCTCAGTAGCAGTGCCGATAGTATCACTTTCCTCTGTTACACATTCGTAATGCAAATTTTGGGCGGATGACACGTACTGAACTTTTTCAATATATTCCTCTAAGTCATCCTTTTCGTCGGCGCGTCTGTAGAACTTCTGGACGCTTTTGTCTTTGAAATATTCAAAGTTAACATCCAAAACGCCTCCTTCAACTGTAGAGGTTGATTTTGCCTCTACAGGAGTCTGCCACTGACCAACCGCTTTAATAGTTTCGGGGTAACTTATAGGCTTCTTGGCTTCCCGAGGCTCACGTTGCTGTAATTGTTCTTGGGGATAAAGCAGACTCCATAAGGAGCTCTTAGATTGCACTCTGGCGATGCTTTCTTCCATTTCCTTTGTAAACCAGTGTTTTTTCTGGGGCACCTGGACCTTCACCTTCAAAGGTTTACTGCCAGTTACAAGTCTTTTAACATTGATCAGTTTCTTGTGGACGAAATGTCTCGACTGATAAATTTCATTAACAGTAGGCAACGGAAATACGTTTCTTTCAAAAATTGAAAGCACATCGACGATCTCATCAATTGCTCGACAAATATAAACGTAAAAAATCACGTATACATTATGGTCGTAAGCTGTGATTATGTTTTTACGTAAAATTGAAGACCTACTCGACAATGCCTTCCCCGTGCTGCTGTTATCCGTCGATTCAGTCGATTGAACATTTGAACATATGATAATCGATTAAGAAAATTGCATCAGTAGGTACTAAGCGTCAGTATACTGATAGTTAAATGGGTTAAAATTGGTAAAATTTAAGACTTATTAAAACGGCAGTTATTTGGCTAGATAGCTATTAAGTAGTAGGACAATTTTTGTTGAAAATTGTTTTTTCTAATTGCTTTAGTTTTCAAGTTATTCGAAGAAAACAACAGAGACTCCAACGGTAGATCAAGCGACGAACCTTATCGATTTAATTTTCGTTTTGAACATTTTGAAAAAGGTTCTTGCATCACTTGATAACTTATATTAAGTACTAGAAAAGGTATACTTTTATTTTTTTCTGCCCTTAAGGTTATCCAGTCTAATGATTAATGCATCAAACGGGGGCGTTTCTCGATTATTAATAATATGCTTCAGAATTACAGTGACGTCAAATAAACGTTACAAACAGGCACGTACTTATTGGTGTTTATTGATAAGAAGAGTTTGGCAGAAATAAATAATAATTAATTAAAAAAATAGAATACTTATACAAAATTAATATCATAATCGTAAAATTCTAAACGATAGTAAGGATTTTTATAATTTGCATTTACAATCAGGATTCGTACATTCATTTCCATCTTCTCCACACAAATCGGGCTTCAAGGATCCTGTTCCACTGCTTTTTTTGTCTTTTGTATCGGCGGTGCCAGTCTTCTCGGTAGTGCTGGTTGTACTTGTTAGAAAGGTCTCAGTAGCAGTGCCGATAGTATCACTTTCCTCTGTTACACATTCGTAATGCAAATTTTGGGCGGATGACACGTACTGAACTTTTTCAATATATTCCTCTAAGTCATCCTTTTCGTCGGCACGTCTGTAGAACTTCTGGACGCTTTTGTCTTTGAAATATTCAAAGTTAACATCCAAAACGCCTCCTTCAACTGTAGAGGTTGATTTTGCCTCTACAGGAGTCTGCCACTGACCAACCGCTTTAATAGTTTCGGGGTAACTTATAGGCTTCTTGGCTTCCCGAGGTTCACGTTGCTGTAATTGTTCTTGTGGATAAAGCAGACTCCATAAGGAGCTCTTAGATTGCACTCTGGCGATGCTTTCTTCCATTTCCTTTGTAAACCAGTGTTTTTTCTGGGGCACCTGGACCTTCACCTTCAAAGGTTTACTGCCAGTTACAAGTCTTTTAACATTGATCAGTTTCTTGTGGACGAAATGTCTCGACTGATAAATTTCATTAACAGTGGGCAATGGAAATACGTTTCTTTCAAAAATTGAAAGCACATCGACGATCTCATCAATTGCTCGACAAATATAAACGTAAAAAATCACGTATACATTATGGTCATAAGCTGTGATGATGTTTTTACGTAAAATTGAAGACCTACTCGACAGTGCTTTCCCCGTGCTGCTGTTATCCGTCGATTCAGTCGATTGAACATTTTTCTCTAAAGGAATTTCCGTTGGTAATTCTTCCGCGAAGGGATCAAAATTTTCATTCACCTTATAACCATCATCGACTTCTTTTGGTTCTTTGGCAGCGCCTCCCTTTTTGGACCCCTTGTCAGTCTTGGCACTCCCTTTATCGCTTTTATCCTTTCCTTTCTTCTTATCGCCCTTTCCTCCTTTTCCTTTGCCACCTGGAGGTGGAGTCATGGGAAGATTGTAATAAGTTTTGTACCGCTTTTTGCACTCCTCTAAAGGGATGTCTTTTAGGTTTTCAGGTGGAGGTTTGTCAGTTTTGTACGAAGGCGGAGGTGGTTCTCTAGGTACATGGATCGTATTTTCCACATGCCATTCTGGCATTTTAAAAAACGATTGGACCAAGGATAATCCGGCTGCTCGTTGAAGATTATTCTCTTCTCTAGACGAATGCGTGACGAAATGTCTTTTAGGATCTACGTGAACTATCGATTTGAGCTGTTCAACTTTTTGTTCGATTATATCGAAATATGTACAAAGTATTGCATAAACTCGTCGAAATGTCACCAGATCCTCATTGGTTATAGTTACTTGTCTTTCTAATTTTTCCACTAACCAATTAAAATACTTGGTGTATTTATTCATCTCGGTACTTTGTTCTAGTATTTTGATAAGTGACGGAATATCTTTTGCTGTTTCTTCTTCGTCATTTTCAGGTTCAGTGCCTATCAATACAACATGAGGATGTTCTTCTGCTATTTTGATTTGTTCTTCAGACTGAGGAGGAAATAGCATTTCAAGTTCTTCACTCGTCGTATATTTTTGCAAAATCTTCTTCCTATTCGCTTCCAGTTGATCTTGAAACTTTCCCGCCTTTTCCTCCTCTACTTTCATCCCCATTTCCACATATTCGTCATAGGCTGTAAATATTTTCTTTCGTTCGAGAGCCTCGCATTTTATATCATGATATTTTGCCAGTTTCATCAATTTCGTTAACGATAAATTCCAATACAGTGGATCTGACGATCTACAGACACAATACCAACTAAAAAAGTTAGTAAAAACGGTAAGCCTTTGGACACATACCTTCTCAAGATGTAGTAAAGGTCCTCCAACTGTTCTACAACTTCCTTGTTGTATAAATACCTTACGCGCTTATCACAAGGCGAAAATTCTGTATTAATGGCTTCAAATATTTCCTTCTTGTTGTACGTGTAAACCTGAGCACGACTCGTTTTTCTCCTACGTTTCGGAAATACATATTCCAAACACTCTTCAATTAAACGACTTCTAACATTGTTCGCAATATGCTTTTCAATCTTTTCTTTTTTGTCTTTTTCGTCCCCACGAAACGCTGATGCGTGCATCACAATTACCAACTTCAAACTATCGGAAACGGTGGCAGGTTTAAAACGTAACTGCCATTGTTCGAGGTATATTCCTAGTAGATTCAAAAGGATCATTTCTAAATTTTAAAATAATACGTAACTAAGCCAACAAATAAATACGTATAAAACAATTAATTTTCATCTTTTACCTTCATCGTGCGTCTTAAACGACACAGGAAAATCATAAGTAGCTTCGGGCATTAAAATCTGTTCGTTCTTGTTAAAAAAGAACAACGACTTTACAGGTTTATCGGGAACTATGTCAGCAAACATTTCATATTTAGGATTCGGTATCCAATAATATCTTACAACTACGCATCCCAAATTCTCCATATGAAGATACTGAGTCATCATTTCTTTCTTGGAAAGGTCATAATCAAACAATAAATAAACCTTTCTGGTACCCATAACGTTTGAGCTGGGAGATATATCCAAACCGTTAATTTTTATATGAAATCGTTCACGTGTTGGTTGCGGTTCAACTTCCGGAGATTCGGGTTGAACCGGAGATTGTACCGATTCCGTTATTGTTTCAGTTACAGTTACTTCCTTGACTGTTTCCTGTTTGAAAATATCATGCCAAATGGGCACCGAAGAAACTATTAAATTGTCTAATTCGGGTCTCTGTCTGTCCAACAAATCCCTTGCTATGGTAAATCTGAATAAAATTTAGAAATAGAATCCGAACTTTCGAAAAATGACGGAATTGTACCTCGATCTAGGTAAAACATCTTTCTTTTTCTGTACTTCTGTAGGTATTCGGACATAATCGACGGAAGGTAGCTCGCATTTTTCTAACGGTGTCATCACAGCAAAGTGAGTAGGACCCCGTTGACCTGGAAGCGGTTTTAGATAATGGGGCATTTTCCAGAATCCGGGACAACCCCTTTGTGGATCAGGTTCCGTGTATCTTTTTTCGTAATATTCTCTTAACCGAATTTCGTTCGTTTGACGCAGTTCTTCAAAACTATTCATAAGAAGGTCGCCTGGATCATTCATTCAAAATGGGACACAAAAATTAAGATGTGTAAAAAAGAAAACAACTTTACCCGGTTGTCTATTTAAATTTTTGCAAAGCTTTTCGTGTATCTTTTTTCTTCTTTCCAACCAGACGTTCCAGTTCTTTAACCTGTTGTCTAGCATATGTTCAACTTGCCGGGCCCTCTCTTTAACCGAAATGGCCATTCTACATTTACATTTTTTTCCCGTACATACCGGGCAAATGGAATTAATATCAATGATTTCATCGATATTGGGAAGATCCGTGAAAGACATTTCTTATTTTACAAAGTATTGTACAGTCTGACAACTCTGCTAGACAGATACATAGACAATGACAATTCGTAATCTATTTAGAAAATTTTTTTTTACAGGTTACCACAAAAAAAAACGGGACTTCCGAAAATGGGTTTATTCTAAATTAACTTTAGTGATTGTAAAAATTAAATACAGAAATGGCAGATGATGTATCCGAAGAAGAAACGAATGTCGTTCAAAGTAAATACCGAATAACAATTTGATAAGAAATCTGTTTTCCAAAAAATTAAACATTTTTAGTACAAGAACCAGAAGAGAAAGACGCCGGCGTGACCGACGAAAGGGTTAAATTTGTTCAAACAGTCGCTTTAGCTGAGGGTGAATTAGATAGTCCGATTAATATCAACTTAACATATACCGTGCCAATTGACCTACCCCCCTTATACTTTGCGCATTACGAAGTTTTAACGAAAAAAGTAAAATTAAAAAACAACGGCAGAACAAGCAAGTCACTCAAATTTTACTTAACAATTAAAAATTAAAGTTCTAACTTTTAGTGGTTTTAAATTGTACTTGGCAACCAAAACAACCTGTGCCCTATTTAGTGGGCGGTCCGTTCACTGATAGATACGAATTTTCACAATTGCATTTCCACTGGGGTAACACATGCATGGAAGGAAGTGAACACACCGTGGATGGAGTACAACTACCCCTCGAAATGCATGTGGTGCACTTCAAAACTGAATACCTTACACATGAAAAAGCGGTCAAACAACCCGACGGAATTGCTATAGTGGTCTACCTCTTCCAAGTAAACGAATAATAAACACAAAAACAAAACAAAACTAAAATTCTAAAAATAAAAAAAACAACACCTTAATCATAGTCGACTTGTTAAACAATTGTTGATAAAAGTTTTGTAAAAATTCTGATGGTGCCATCAGATTTTAAGTGCGGCTTAATATGCAGCAGATAACTGTACCATAATAGGGAAAATGTCCAAAAAATTATAAACACAAAAAAGCGCACCTAAATTTCCGACCTATTAAGCAGCTTTTCTAAATGTTCTAATACGTGAAATATATGCAAAAATATGTGCAGAATCTGATGGTGCCATCAGATTTTAAGTGCGGC